GAAGCACCGTGAGAACCTTTCTTACCGCCTGGCCCTTTGTTAGGACCCTGCGGAACCGCATGGCCCCCTTGTGGCGCAGACTTGCCTCTCGCTTTTCCCTTTTCGACATCCCGTTCCTGAAGCGCACGCTGCTGCCGCGACTGCTCGTACTGGTCGCGAGCTACTCTGACCAATTCCTGGCGCTCAGGCTCCGTGAGAACGTAGCGCATGTCGTCGATGTTCTTGCTCCGCAGAAAGTCATGTCGAAGCTGAAGGACAGAGAGAATGGCTCGGCCAGTCTCCTCCTGAGACGCAAAGGCCGTGTCATATGCCGAGCCAGGCTGAGGAGCGCCAGCTGGATCAGTGTCCGCTAGCTCCGTGGACTTCCTCTTTTTGAAAAGCAAGAGACTGAGATGAAAGAGGACTTTCGGATCGTACTCCTCGTCGTACCTTTCGTCCCAAAGCTGCCTCAGCTCCCTGTGCAAGTCGTTCGCGCGAGTTTGAACGACATCCTCGACGTAGTCGGGATCAGCCGGTGAAGTCGGTGAAAGCGGAGGAGTAGGACTCGGCGACCGATCCCAATGCACAGAAGACTCGGCGTCCGCCTGTACGCTGACGTCGGCGTCGGAGACGTTTTCGACGACAATCTTCCGCCTCTTGCTCTCCCCAGGCTGAGAAGCACCAGGGAGAGTGAGCACAACCGCCACGGCATCGTGTGCGTCGTTGCGCATGCCACGATCCGTAAAAGACGCGCCAACGGCAATGGAGCAGAAACGGGCGACTGCTCCGCAGACCGCGACGTGGTCGCCTTTGAGGTCGGCCGGAGTGGCATGGACCTCCCAGAGCTTCTCGTCGTTCTGCTGGCGCTGGTAAGCCTCCCGCGCCTCCTGGAAAGTCAGGTTGTCGTCGCCGACTACAAGCAGAACGACTGGCACGTGCGGCTCCGAAGCATTGAGAATCTGAGCGATGCCGTCCAGGTGCAAGCGGAGATGGCGAACTGTCCGCTTTCGAGTCTGAATGGTCGGCGGTTTCTTGCCGCACACGATGTGCATGTTGGCGATCACCACGTGGAACTTGTCATGGCCTGGTTTGTTCACCTCAAAATGTGAAATAACAGCATCAATCTCTCGGCCGCTAGGAGGCCTGTAAACTTTGCTGTCTTCGCACAGAGTCAGTTCCGCAGGCTGAGAAGCACCGCGGAACCCCCAGAGAGTCAAGTAGTTGTCGACCTCCGAGAAGCGAATGCCATCACCGAAAGGCTTACTGAGGATCTCTGTCACGTTGATCCCTGCTCGGCGAAAGCCTTCACGGAACGCACCGACCTCGCATGCACAGACAATATCAGCATCAGCGGTCTCCACTATCGTGGCGCACACCCTTCCGAAGTTAGCGCAGTGAGTGGCCGCCTGCTTACCAGTCATCATGCCCTGCTCGAACCCGAAATTGAACGAGGCGACCGTGAAAGACGCAGGCTGCAGAGCGCCAGGACCAGGCGTCTGTCGACCTTCCTCCGCAGGCTGAGAAGCACCGCGAGGCGGCGACACTTCGGACGAGCCTCGCGGAGCAGAGGCTGCGGATGAACGTTCCATATAGCGGTACGGCCAGGGGAACGCCATTGCAATCGAAACTCTAGTGACGAGGCACGTTGAGTGCAATGGACTGCAGTGTCACTAGCAAGTCCTGAACCAAACACGGCTGTCGCGGAAGGAATATGAATGTGACCCGAGACTAACCTAGTGAAAACTCAAAGAAATCAGTGTGTGTGTGACGGTTGTGTCAAGGAATTGAAAGTTGACATGTGACAAGACGACAAGGACACTGTGTATGAGTGTTGCATGATAGTGTGAGAACGAGTGTTGCCCAGGAGTGTCGCCCAGATATGAAGCTCTGAGAGGTCACAGAGCACAAAGTGTGTAACTGTCGCGTGGGATTACTCTGAATGTATCCCGTTACTCAGAACGTGGCCCAGGAATAAAGTTCTGGGGTGTCAAGTACGAAGAATTGTATGACTGTTGCGTCTGGCTATTCAAAAAAAAGGCCCGGGAATGGAGTTCTGGGAACTCGAAGACCAGGAAGTGGCCTACAGTTGGCTCCGGGCATCCAAAATGTGGCCCGGGAATGGAATTCTGGGAACTCGAAGAGCACGAAGTGTGTGACTGTTGCATCCGGCCCTCCAGAATGTGGCCCGGGAATGGAGTTCTGGGAACTCGAAGAGCACGAAGTGTGTGACTGTTGCATCCGGCCCTCCAGGATGTGGCCCGGGAATGGCGTTCTGGGATCTCGAAGAGCACGAAATGGCCTACAGTTGCATCCGGCCCTCCAGAATGTGGCCTGGGAATGGAGTTCTGGGAAGTCGAAGAGCACGAAGTGTGTGACTGTTGGTGAAAAACGAGTTCGGCACAGGCCCGCCCGGCAACTCCCAACACCTGCCCAGACCCCCCTGTGGAGTAATGTGCTGCTCTCTTTTTAGCCTACTAGAAACCTACCAGTCTTCGATGTTAGGTAAAAAGCCCGAAAGAAGGGCACCGAGAGACCCTCAAGAGGCCCCCGAGAGACCTCCTCGGAGGTCCCCGCTCACGACGCCCCAGTAGACCCCCAAGAGGTCCTTCATCCCTGCCGCCTCCCTCCTCGACTGTCTCTCCTTGCTCCTCGCCCCTCCCGTCGACCGTTGCTCCTCCCTCCCTCCCCTCCCTCCTCGATCTCCTCGCTCCTGGCGCCTCGCTCTTCGATCTTCCACTCGGCCTGACGTTTCGCGCCGTCCGTTCCAAGAGGACCCCCGAGACCGCCAGCTGGCCCCCGAGAGGCCCCCCAGAAGCCTGCCCCGAAAGGCCCCATGACTCCCCAGAAATCGCATCCAGAAGGCCTCCGAGGGAGGGTAGTTCGCCAGGGCCAAAAAAAGCTTTTTCTCAGATGCAAAGATTTGAAATCACCGAAGGATGGAAGTCGGGAAGACCATGGGATAATTGTTTCTCACTCGGTATACCAGTGGGATCATTGGGCCAGGATCCGGGACAGGCCAGGATAATTATGCTTTACGTGAAAATCAATTGTTTGAACTTCAATCCGGGATCTAATTCAGATCGTTCCTACTAAGCACTAGGACCCCAAGGGCCTAGGTATCCCGCCGTTGGGGATCGCCCAGAAAGGCTCATCTTGTCAGGACTCTAAGGGAGGAAGGGGGGGGGCTGATGCCATTTTGGCACGTAAACGGCCCCTCTAAAGTTCAAAGGAACTTTCGTAGACCCTTCTAGCGGGCACGCAGCACGAAGCAGGCAGCAGTGGCGGCAGCACACAGCAATAGTAAGCAGCAGCACCAACAGGCAGCTGACACCAGCACGCACCAAGCAGAACTGGCAATCAGCAGCACCATGCAGCCACAAGCAGCAACAACAATACGCAGCAGCGGCAAGCATTACCAACAGCACGCAACAGCGGCAGCAAGCAGCAGCATGCAGTTGCATGCGCGAAGCGCTGGGATGGTATGATCGAACCCCATGACCTTTCGGTAACGTGTCTACCATCACATGCCAGTTCGTGCAGATTTCGTGGACGTGGTCCACGGGTCAGCCCCAGTCTATACTACGATACCAGGATCAGCGCGTGCGAGATTGCTCTGCCGCAGCTCGGCCCGGGACGGCTTCCGGCGCTCCCGGGGCGCTCCCCGGCGTTCTTGGGGCGGTCCTGAACGGCTTTGGACGGCCGCCAGAAGGCTCCAAGACTTCCAACCACGGCTCCCCTGCGCTCAAAAGCGCGCCCAGACTGCCCCAGAGAGCCCGAAGCGAGCCTGAAGCTGGCCCAAGACGGCCCCAAGACAGGCCAGGAGGCCTCCCAAGACGGCCTAAGAGGACCCCGATGACGGTCCCACGAGGCCAACATCTTAGATCTTCTTTTGGTTTCTGACGGATGCTCATGCTCTTCCCGCCCCAAGAGCCTTCACGGAACCGTTGAGAGACAGGTTGCCCCAGGAAGGCTCCGAGGCGAAACCAAAATAAGCTTGCCAGGCTGCCCTCCTGAGGGGGCTCTGGGGGACAGCCCGAGGAGTACGGCCCCAGAGGCGCCCAACATTCCGCAAGAGGCTTTCCAGAGGCCCCAGACAGGCTCGCAGCAGGACCCGAGGTGCCCCCCACACGGCCCAAGAGACGCCCGGAATATCCCGAGGCTGGCCCCTGAGGCACCAGACGGGTCCCCGGGAGGCCCCGAGTGTCGGGGAGGCGACGCAGGGCCACGTGTGGAGCGTGCGCCACAGCAGTGGCGAAGTACTGGTCGTGGTGGAAGGCCAGGGCGCCCCGCTCACAGCCCGGCGGGGCGCGGCTCGGGAGGGGCCCCACCCACCCTCAGCGGGCCAGCGCTCTCCCGTGGCGGCCTCCTCGCCTTATTACAAGGCTCACGCATGCAGCCTGAAGCGGGCCTCCAGAGCAGGGAGGTCGTCACAGGAGCGCCTGTCACACAGGGGGTCGGTTGACCCGCGCCCGCGGCAGAGGGAGCGCATCTCCGCGCCTCCCGAAGCGTTCGTTCCCTTCTCCCTCCTCGTACCGTTCCTACTCTCCGCGGCCTGCCCCGTCTCGCGCCACCTGAGAACGAGGTTCTTGGCCCTCTTCACCGAGCAGCGGGGAGGCGTGCACGCAGATTCGTGTCGCGTCGACGGGGCCGCGACCTCAGCTCTGGCAGCACGGGCTCAACGCCGCCGCTGAGGCAGAGTCGGCTGACGTTGACTCTGAGTGACCTTGCGATCTCAAACTTGCCGACCGTGCAGAGTCGAGTGCTTCACGCGATGTCACGAACGACTTCGCAGCTCGTCACGACAGGAACCCACCGTGCTCCCTCCTCCACGGAGTCGCTGGCGCGGCGCGTTCAGGCGCTCCGAGGCCGTCCGCCTGCCTGTTACTCCTCCCCCACCCCGTCCTCTCCAGGAGCTCCACGAGCTGTTCGGCTTCGACGCCCTGCTCTTGGGATTAAAGCTACGACGCCTTGCGAGTTCGAGGCTCAGCACGCCGTGGATTCAATCCACGGGCTAACTTTAGTCAGCGCCAATACTGGAATCAGCGCGTGCGGGAAAGGCGAGCAGTGGCAGCGGGCGCTGGCGCTGCTCAGCGAGATGCGGGAGGCGAAGCTGGAGCTGAACGTCTTCAGCTACAGCGGAGGGATTAGCGCGTGCGGCAAGGGCAAGCAGTGGCAGCGGGCGCTGGCGCTGCTCAGCGAGATGCGGGAGGCAAAGCTGGATCCCGATGTCATTTCTCCTACATGGCCAGTTTCGGCCCGTGCCAGAAGGGTGCCAGCATCAAGTCGCCCAAATCGCCCCTGTCGGGCTCCCGCGGGCTCCGAGACGGTCCAAGATTGCCCGAGACGCCTCCAGTCAGCCTAAGAGGTCGTTAGTATGGCTTTCAGACGGCCTGGCGGGCCCCAAGGCGGCCCCAGAGGGCTCCCAGAGGCTCTCCAAGAGGGCCTCACGAGGCCCAAATCATTGATTCCTCCTAGGTTTCCGACGCTCCGAGACGGTTCAAGAGGCCCTCCAGTTTATCCAAAAGGGCCCCAAGACCGCCCAAGCGGCCTCCAAGACGGCCCAAGAGGGCCCCAAGTAGGGGAGCTCGACCAGACATTCTGCGCCCTCCGTCCCAAGATGACCCCAGAGACCGCCAGCAGGCCCCCAAGAAGCCCCCCAGAATCCCCAGGAGGCCCCCCAAGAGGCCCACATCAAGCCCCAAGAGGCCCCCGAGGACACTCCCAAAACCGCCTCCAAGAGGCTTCCGATGGAAGATCCCCCGAGCTCTGGGACCGCGCCAGCCACCAGGAAATTCGGCACCCAGGCGCTTATTTTGCCCCCCCTTCGTTGGATCGGCGCCGGTCTGACTGGGCGACCCGTCGGGGAGTTCTCCCCGAGAGTGCTCCGGGACCGCTGGCCACCGGGGGCATGCTCCGTATTGCCTTCTGCCTTCTGCCTTCTTCCGAGCCTACGCAGCCCGCGCGCATCCTCCGACCTCCTCGGACGGCCGCAGCCACGATGGAACATCGTTGAAAGTAAGGTGCGCGTGCGCTTCTCAATTTCCAGCATGGGCCCTAATACTGCCCTAGTGCGCCTCAAGGTCGTGTCAGAAGACATGAGAAGGCCTAGATTCAGCACGGGAGACCCCATTACCGCTTTCGGAAACAAGCAGCAGCAATCATCAGCAGCAAGCAGCAAGCTAGCAAGCCAGCAAACAAGCAGCAGCAGCAGCAGCAGCAGCAAACAAGGCAGCCAGCCAGCAAGCAAGCAAGCAGAAAGCAAGCAACAAACCAATACAAAAAGGCAAACTGCTCGCAAGCAGCACCAGCAGCAAGCAGTCAAAATAAACAAGCAGCAAATAGACATCGACTCATCCAGCCTCCAACCCAACGTCACTTGAAAATCGACGAAATCTGGAGGAATCAGCCCCCAGACCCTGGGGGGGGTCTGTCCAGACTGGTCTCTCACCCCAGATCGATGTTTCACGGCCCCAGAGCCCGAGCACAGTCCCCCGAGGCTTACGAGGGCGACGAGTCCCCTTAGATGTCGCCGCTCCTCGGCCATCTCCCCTCGGCCTTCGCTCCTCCACTCTCGCTCTTCATCGCCAATCGCTTCTCCCCCTCCATCTCCTCGATGTTCTCGGTCCTGACTCCTTAGCTCTTCGATTCTCTCCTGGCGTCAGAATGCTGAAGTAGCGAGACACAACACCCTGCAGCAACAAGCAGAAGCAGCAGCAGCAGCAGCAGCAGCAGCAGCAGCAGTTAACGGCAGCAGCAGCAGCAGTTAACGGCAGCAATGCGCAGCGGGTTGTAGCAGCGGGAGCGCGCAGCAACAACAAGCAACAGTAGTAGCAGGCAGCGGGCAGCAGCACGCACCAAGCAGAACTGACCATCAGCAGCACCCTGCAGCTACAAGCGGCACCAGCACGCAGCAGCGGTAAGCACTGCCAGCCGCACGCAGCATCGGCAGCAACCAGCAGCTCGCAGTAGCATGCGCGGAATGCGAAGTTCGAGCCCCGCATCATCACCTCAGCCTTTCGGCAATATGTCCACCACTACGTAGTCCACGTCCACGGGTCAGCAGAAGTCTCTTCTCTATGGCGGACATCAGCGCGTGCCAGAAGGTCGTGCACCGATGCGCTCCCTGGAGGGCCATTTTTCGATACCCTTCACGCAGATCCTGGCCCCCGAGCGTCACAAATGGAGCCCTCCCCCCAAAGACGCGCCGAAGTGGCCATAAGAGGCTCCAAGGAGCGTCCAAGGAGCCCCCTAGAGGCCCCCAACAAGGGCCAAGAGGCACCCTAGAGGACCCCACCAAGGCTCTAGAGGCCTCCAAGAGCCTCCAACAGTCCTCCGAAGCATGTCCCCAGAGGCCCAAATCCTTAATTTATCATTGGTTTTTGAAGGAGTTTTGCCTGCTCACCTTCTCGGCTAGCCGACGCTCCAAGCCGGCCGAAGAGAACCACAAGACCGCCCCAGGACGGCCCAATAGGCTTCCAAGCGCGTCCCCAGACGGCCCAGGGAGGCCCCCAACAAGGCCCTAGAGGCCTTCAAGAGCCTCCAGCTGTCCTCCGAAGCATGCCCCCAGAGGCCAAAATCTTTCATGTATCAGTGGTTTTTGCAGGTGTTTTGCCTTCTCGCCTTCTCCGCTAGCCGACGCTTCAAGCCGGCCGAAGAGACCCACAAGACCGCCCCAGGACGGCCCGACAGGCTTCCAACAAGATGAGGCACCCAAGACGGCCCCAGAGGACCCCAAGCCAGGCCCAAGAGGGGGCCAAAGAACGGGGAAAAACCCTGACACGCTGAGCCCTGGGCCCCCATACGCCCACACAAGGCCCCAAGACCCTCCCAAGAGGCCTCCAAGAGCCTCCGAAGCATGCCCCCAGAGGCCAAAATCTTTAATATTTCAATTGTTTTTGAAGGAGTTTTGCATTCTCGCCTTCTCCGCTAGCCGACGCTCCAAGACGGCCGAATACACCCACAAGACCGCCCTTGCCTTCTCGCCTTCTCGGCTAGCCGACGCTCCAAGACGGCCGAAGAGACCCACAAGACCGCCCCAGGACGGCCCAACAGGCCTCCAAGCGAGCCCCCAGAAGGCCCAGGGAGCCCCAAGATGGCCCAAGAGGCGCCCAAGCCGGCCCCAGAGGACCCCAAGCCAGGACCCCCAAGAGGGACCCAAGAGGCAAAAATTGCCCCATTCGCTTCGGAAAACGTGCATTTTTGATATGCTCGCTCTTTTCGTCTTCACCGCGTCCAAGACGGCTATACAGGCCTTCCCGATCGCCCAAAGACGCCCCCAGAGCACCCCAGGAGGGCCCCCAAACGGCTATAGAGGCCCTCCACCTCGCCCCAAGACGCGCCCAGAGGCCCCCAAAGGGCCCCACACGGCCCCGACGGCCCAGGACGCACCCAAGACAGCCCCAAGAGCAGCCAAGAATGGCCAACGGGACGGCTCCGAGAGGCTCCAGGGAGCGCCAAGACGGCCTCAGAGCACCCTTGGGAGCCCCAAGGCAGCCCCAGAGGCCCCCAAGGCAGGCCAGGAGGCTCCCAAGACGGCCCAGGAGGGCTGTCCACACCATGTCATGCCTACATTGGGTGTACTTCCACTGACACCGCCTCCACCACCGCGTTCCTGCCTTCAGGCCTGCTTGCCTGCATCCCTCGCCCACCTTCCCCTCCAGCGGCCACCTCCTTCATCCACGCCGTCCCCTCCAACCTCCCCTTACCCGCGAGGCCCCAGAGACGCTCCTCTTCCACGTCCACGCCAGGGCGGGCAAATTCCGCGGCCGGAGGCCGCCGGTCAGCCCTAGTCAGCTATAACGTTGGGATCAGCGCGTGCGAGAAGGGCGAGCAGTGGCAGCGAGCCTTGGCGCTGCTCGGCGAGATGCGGGAGGCGAAGCTGGAGCCAAACGTCACATCTATACTGCAATGCTCGAACCAGTGCGCGCGAGATTGCGCCCTGGGCGGCCGCCAGAAGGCTCCAAGACGTCCAGAGACGCGCCAGAGAGCGCCCGGAAGGTACCAGAGAACCTGGGCCGAGCCTCCGAACGCTCCAAGCCGGCCCCAAGACACGATAGGAGGCCTCCCATGACGGCCCCGGAGGACCTCGAGGCTGGCCACGCGAGGCCAAAATCGCAGGTTCACCCGAAGGTTTCGAAAGGATTTCCAGGTTCTCCCTATGTCGCTTCAAGAACGGCCCCAGAGGGGCCCAAACGCCTCCTACATTTCGTTAACACTGCCCAAGAGACTCCGAGTAGAGGCCTTCGACGGCTCAAAAGGCTCTCCAGATGACCTCAGAGCGCCCGAAGACAGTCCCAAAGAGCCCCAAGTTCCCTCCAAGAAGGTCCCAATGGAGTCCCCACAGACCCGTTCAGAGCCCCAAGGACGCCCCAGGACGGTCCCAAGGCGATTCTACAAGAAGCTTCCCAGGCTGTCCCCCAGAAGAAGCTCTGGGGGCCAGCCCGGGAACGGCTCCAGAGGCGCCCAAAATACCGCAAGAGACTTCCAATACGCCCTGGACAGGCTCGCAGGAGGACCCAACATGCCCCGACAGGGCCCCAGAGACACCTAAGCTGTTTAACTTCGACGAGCTGTTCACCCACGATGTGCGAGCCCCAGGTTCAGCACACCGTGGATTTAACCCATGAGTTCGCACTAGTCGATGCCAATGTCACGATCAGTGCGTGCAAAAGACATTCCAGTGGCATTGAACTTGACCCCGGGGCCGCTCCGGCCGGGCCCTAGGAGCCGTCATGGTGGCCTCCAGAGCAGCCCTGGGCGGTCCAAGACGGCCCTGAGGGGCCCAAGCGCACTTTGAGACCGCCCAAGATGGCCTCCAAAGGGTCCCCACCCAGAAACGGCCTCCAGAAGCAAACGTCGTTCACGCACCCGTTGTTTTCTGAGAGGTTCGCGCTCTCGCCTTCTCAGGCTTCAGGCAGCCCACGACGGCCCGAGGGGCCTTCCAGATCGCCCCAAGACCTCCCAAGAGGTTCCCATGAGAGCCGGAAGCAGCCCGACGGTTGCAAAACTGCCCCAAACGGCCCAAGAGGGCGTCCAGGAGGTCACAGGGGACGCCTCGAGAGAGCCCCACGAGGGGCCTACAACGGTCCTGGGAACTGACACTTCGAAGGCTACTCAAAGTGGCGGATCGGAGAGCCTTCTCGGCCCTCAAGAATCTGGCTGGACGGATCTTGAGTGCCCCATGTGGCCACAAGGTAAGCAAAGAGGCCCGAGAGGGCCCCAAGAGGGGCCCGCAACGGCCCTGTCACTTCGAAGGCTGCTCACAATGGCGGATCAGAGAGCCCTCTTGGGCCCTCCGCGAGCCTGCTTGTGCTTGTGACACCTCACGAGCACAGCCCGCAAGGTTCTTCGACCACGAGGGTCCTCACCACAGGTGCACATTTGTTTCTTTTGCAATGCAGGAACCCGCGCGCGCCAGAATGCGCTGTGCACCAATTGGTTGTTTTCTGCATCCGAGAGGCCCTGGGAGGCCGAACAGCGCTTCTGGGGCAGCTTGGACAGCCCTGCGGGCCTCTGGCCACGTCCCCTCTACGGCCCAACAGGGCTAAAAGACGGCCGAAGAGGAGTCCAAGACGGTCCCAAGACGGCCTCAGTTAGCGACGAGGCCCCCCAGACGCTCCAAGCGTGGTCCAGAAGGGCCCCTTAGACAAGACCCGAATGTCAAAATTCGTTCCAATCCTTCTCGAAAGATGTAACCTGTTGGCATCTGTGTTTTCCAATCTCTACAGCGTTCCAGCAGGCTCTCCAGGACCCCGACGTGCCCCTAAGGCAGTCTCAGAGGCTTGCAAGATAGCCCCCAGACGGCCCAGAACAGCCCCGAGACGGCCCAGGAGGCGCCCAAGACAGCCCAAGATGATACCACAGCGGCCTCAAGAGAGGCGCAGGACGGCCCAAGGCGGCCCCAAAACGTCCCAGAGACCCAGACGATGACAAGACGGCCCAAGTGGCGCCCACGGCGGCCCATGAGGGCCCCAAGAAGTCCAGCAGATGCCCTCGTAGGCCCCCGCACAGCTTCCGAGTGACCCCAAGGGACTCCGAACTGAACTCCGCGAGGGCAGGGCGAAGCAGAGGCCAGAGGCTTTGCGCATGCCCAACAGGCTCGGTCTAGACGCTCCATGGAGCCTGGGTGCTTGTCTCCTGGTGCCACCTCGGACAAATTTCGTGGCTGGTAGGCCACGGGTCAGCCCTAGTCAGCTCTCCAAGACGGCTGTACAGGCCCCCAGGATCACCCCAAAAAGCCCCCAAACGGCCCGAGACGGCCCTGGGACGGCTCCAGAGGCGCCCGAGACGGCCCAAGAGGCACCCAAGACAGCCCCAAGTTCGCCCAATGACGGACACACAAGACGGCCCAAGAGGGCTGCACCCCTAGGAGGACAAAAAGAGGCCCCCAAACGGCCCCAAAGAGGCCTTGGATGCTCGTCTCTTGGGGAGCGTCGACGACTGACGATCGACGATCGACGGCGCGCAGGAGGAGGAGGAGGAGGAGGAGGAGGAGGAGGAGGAGGACGAAGGAAGCCGAGCATGAGAAGAGAGGGAAGGAGGAGAGGAGACACATCGACGGGAGACGAGGAGGGGAGGAGGAGGACGAGGAGCGCATGGAAGATATAGCTACAGCAGAAGAAGGAAGAAGGACAGTTAGAAGGAAGAAGACCGGTGATCCTTCTGTGCACCAGTCGCCTGAGCGGCCCCAACGCGGGCTGTCTCGGCCCCCCCTCGCGGGCCTCTTAGCCGACTAAACTCCAGACGAACGAACAGGAACATGCCCGCGCCCACCGTCCCCATTCTCACCAAACTACCAGATAAAAATCATTCGGCCCTGGCAAAGGACAGATCAATTTATCACGGCGACCCGCCCCGCAGAAGCTACGATGAACACAGCGCGCGGCGTGAGAGACAGCTTCTGTGCACACCATGTCGTGCCCTCCTGGGTGCGTTTCCATTGACACCGCCTCCACCACCGCGTTCCTGCCTTCAGGCCTGCTTGCCTGCATCCCTCGCCCACCTCCCCCCCCGCGAGGCCCCGGAAACGCTCCACTTCCACTCCACACCATGGCGGGCAGCTTTCGCGGCCGGGTTAGCCCTAGTCGGCTATCATCACATGCACGTGCTGACCCTCAAGGCCACGACGACTGCTCCTCCATGCGCTACGTTGAGGCAAGCGCCGGAGGAGCAGCAGGAGGAGGAGGAGGAGCAGGAGCAGGAGGAGGAGGAGGAGGAGGAGGAGGGCGACGTCGCCAGCGACAACGGAGATGACGACGACGACGACGACGACGACGACGACGACGACGACGACGACGACGACGACGACGACGACAGCGACGACGACGACAGCGACAGCGACGACGACGCGACTGAGCCGGCGACCGCGATCACAACGGCGACGACGCCAAGTCAGTGTGCCAGCGCGGATCCCGAGCAGCAGAGTCATGCATTGTGAAGATGGAGCGGGGTGGCCCGGGACGATTTTTGAACATTTGCTTCCAGGGGGTCGATTTGTTCAGAAATTGTCCAGGTCCAGCCTCCACCCGGGCCCCCCTAAGCAATAGAACTTGTCATGGCCGTAGGCCACGGGTCAGCGCGCCGAAGTGGCCATAAGAGGCTCTCCAAGGAGCGTCCAACAGTCCTCCGAAGCTTGCCCCCAGAGGCCAACATCCTTTATTTTTCCATGGTTTTTGAAGGAGTCTTGCCTTCTCGCCTTCTCGGCTAGCCGACGCTCCAAGACGGCCGAAGAGACCCACAAGACCGCCCCAGGACGGCCCAACAGGCCTCCAACAAAAGACGGCCCCAGAGGACCCCAAGCCAGGCCCAAGAGGGGGCCAAAGAACGGGGAAAAACCCTCACACTCCGAGCCCTGGGCCCCCATGCGCCCACACAAGGCCCCGAGACCCCCCCAAGGGAACGCCAAGAGGTCCCCAGGGGCCCCCAAGAAGCCCAAAGCAAGCCCCACGAGGCCCCCAGACGGCCCCCAAGAGGCCCGCAAAACAGCGCACGTGGACCAACGCGCCCCCTGGAGGGCCATTTTTCAAGACCCCTCACGAAGAGCCTGGCCCCCGAGCGTCACAAATCGAGCCCTCCGACCAAGAACGCGCCGAAGTGGCCATAAGAGGTTCCAAGGAGCGTCCAACAGTCCTCCGAAACATGCCCCCGGAGGCCAAATTCTGCATTGTTCCTTGGTTTTTGAAAGAGTCTTGCCTTCTCGGCTAGCCGACGCTCCAAGACGGCCGAAGAGACCCACAAGACCGCCCCAGGACGGCCCAACAGGCCTCCAAGAGCGTTCCCAGACGGCCCAGGGAGCCCCAAGATGGCCCAAGTGGCGCCCGAGACGGCCCCAGAGGACCCCAAGCCAGGCCCAAGAGAGGGCCAAAGAACGAGGAAAAACCCTCACACTCCGAGCCCTGGGCCCCCATACGCCCACACAAGGCCCCAAGCCCCCCCCAAGGGAACGCCAAGAGGTCCCCAGGGGCCCCCAAGAAGCCCAAAGCAAGCCCCACGAGGCCCCCAGACGGCCCCCAAGAGGCCCCAATCTCTTCTCTATGGCGGACATCAGCGCGTGCCAGAAGGGCAAAACAGCACACGTGGACCAACACGCCCCCAGGAGGGCGATTTTTCGACACCCCTCACGAAGAGCTTGGCCCCCGAGCGTCACTAATCGAGCCCTCCGCCCAAAGACGCGCCGAAGTGGCCATAAGAGCGTCTAACAGTCCTCCGAAGCATGCCCTCAGCGGCCAAAAATCATGTATTTTCCATTATTTTTGAAGGAGTCTTGCCTTCTCGGCTAGCCGACGCTCCAAGACGACCGAAGAGACCCACAAGACCGCCCCAGGACGGCCCAATAGGCTTCCAAGCGCGTCCCCAGACGGCCCAGGGAGCCCCAAGATGGCCCAAGTGGCG